GTGAAAACCCCACACTGTACCCCAGAAGTGCATTAATGTACATAGTTACCATTCAATAAAATAAAAAAAAAAGAATGCACGACAAGCTTAGGGAACAGCGGGAGAATGGGAAGGGAATATACGGTTTTCAGCTGCCATGTGACTATTTCACCAGGATATGAGTTTTATATTATTTTTGTTAATTTTATAATGTTAAACTTTAATAATAACAAATAATTGTTGAGAACTGATTATCAAGAACTGCTTATCAAAGTTCGCATTGTTGATCAGTTGTTACAGGCCTTTGTTACAGACCACCATGGTTTGGACTTAATGAACAATGGCATTTTTTGGCATTGGCAACCACGAAAACATTTTGTAACTGTCTCTCAGACGATACGTAGGGTGTGCTAGTGCTAGTTAAACAAGGGATGTCAACAAATCAGCTATTCAGATAATTTAGGTAAGTTATTTATTTATTTCATGAATTTAGCAGGCGGTACTCGTATTATTTATATTTTATAGTGGCAGCAAAAAGTCTAGCACTGGCCTTGAAAGTGACACTTATAAAACTTTTATTTATTTTATTTTTTATTATTAAAAAATATATTGATAAGGAAAAGGTTAAATCTTGGGCATCAGCAAAAATTACAATAGAGAACAAATGGTTAGAAATATTTCATCATTTTGAAACAAACCATGTTCCATACAATAATGCACTAGAAATTGTGGGATACGTGCTGTCCTCACCAGGAACTAATGCTGCAACTGAATGCGTTTTTCCTACAGTAAATAAAGTGTGGACATCAGAAAAATCACAATTAAGTGTTGAGACGTTGAAAGCCATTTTATGTGTGAAATATAATTTAACAAATTCTTGTGAAAAATTTCATGACCTTTCAAACGACAGCAATCTACTAAAAAAAATTCACTCAAATGAGAAATATGCCAAAGAATAAAATAATACTATATGTAATTTTTTAACTATTATATTTGTAAATTGTACTTACGTTGAAATTTTAAAAAATATATTACAATACTATTTTTGCGTTCTGTGAAAATTTTTGTTGCTCCATATAGACCAAATTTTTAATTAAGAACCCCCGCCCCATCAATGGTGTCCCACTTTACCAATGTTAAAATCTGGTCACCTTAGGCATATTGCCTTGATTCTTTCTATGTTATTTAGTTGACTTTTGACTGGCCTCTCAAATGCCAACTTAGGCAACACTTCCTCTCCATTTCCCTAACAGTCCTCCTCTATGCTTCCCTAGCACCGTCTCTTAAATCTGAACATGACGTATTGATCTTCTCCACCTGGGAAAAAATTCCCTTAGGTACGGGGGTCCATATCTTTCATTTCTGGATTCAGGATTGAAACAGGGGAGGCTCTCCAAGTGCCAGTGACCCAAAGATGACTAAAACACAGTTCCTACTCTAGAGAAGCACGGTCTAGTCTAGAAGACTGTTCCACAAATAAACTACCATTCAGCCCACGTGCTAGGACAGACATATGATCAAATGCTATGTAAACATCTTTCCTCTCTACAGTTCCATCACCTTATACACAGCATTAGTTGCACTGCTGGGTTGTTGTCCTATGTACTGAGTATATGGAGTCACTAATCATGCTCTTCCTAGAGGACAAGGTAACCAGGGCAAGCTAAAACCAGGAAACTGCCATTATCACCGAACTTGAGAGTCATCGCCCAGAAGGAAAGGGAACAGTGGAACTCCAAGCAGACATACAGCATGAGCAGAGGCATCAAGTGCCAGAGCAGTCTGGGGAAGGCCCTTTGACAAACACAGGTGATTTTAGGAAGATATCCAAAGTAAATTCAAAGCACAGGAATATTCCCTCACTGCATTCTATCCCCTTAGAATCCCTGGATGTCCCAAGAGAGTCACAGTGAAGTGATTTATTCTAACTCTCCTATCCACTATTTATGAAATACACTGATGGATTCTGACCCGAGAAGGACAACTATAAATTCTCAGATATGATATAACTCAACAGTAGTCACAAGAACGACATACAAAATTTAGCAGTGAGGCTTTTTCATTTTTCATTCACTCCAGACCAGGGACTAGCATGCCCCAAATTTAAACAAAATTGAGGATGAGACCATGATGGTCATTTCCCTTATTTGGGAAATGATCCATAATTTTCTTAGCAAGGTTCAATAAAAGAAGACATAGAAAGTATGTCTCCAAAGAAAATAAGGGTTAGTAGTTTCAGATAATGGAACTGCACAGTTAACAATGAATGGTTCTGCAGAATATTTTACACACCATGACCCATGAGTTTTAGCTAATCACACAAACCCCTTAACATGCATAGCAGGTGAAGAATGAAATCAAATGGTTTATACTTTTATTTTGGTTTGTATTTTTAATTTATGAAAGGTTACTCAGGGAATTCAAACACACACCCCAAGAACACAGTGAACAAGCCGAATTTCCACGCCCTTTATTGTTGTTTCATTTTGCCCTGTTTCTCTAACCCATAAGCCAGAATCGGGCATCACCCACCCGCAGAGGAAAGCACCACATGCAGGAGACAGACTTGCACTTCTCCGTCTGTTCTGTAGAAGATCCTCAGGGTGGGTCTGTGGATGTTGCACTGTCTGTCCTGTGTCACAGCAGAAGAAGGGGATACATCCTGCTAATGGTTTCATTTGAATAAATTGTTTAAAACCTGGTATGCAAAATTTCTAAAACACAGAGGAGTAAAATAATCTGTTCTGTGTTGTCTAAAACTTTAAAAAGAAGGAAATTGATTACAATACCCTTTACTAAATAGGATATGTGAACCTGTATATTTGCAATCCATTGAGTTTACATCAAGAAAACAGGGCCGGCACAGTGGCTCATGCCTGTAATCCTAGCACTCTGGGAGGCCAAGGTGGGTGGATTGCTTGAGTTCACGAGTTCAAGACCAACCTGAGCAAGAGCAAGACCCCGTCTCTACTAAAAGTAGAAAAACTAGCTAGCACAGTAGCGGGCATTGAGGGGAGGAATGGGAGAGGGAGAAAGGGGAAATAAAAAAGAGAACAGGATGAAAGGATTAGAAATTATGAATGTGACACTTAGGAATATCCTAAATATGGGAAGAACTGCCAAGAGACAGAAGCAACATGGAGGGAAAGTCCTACCAGTACCAAGAAAGCAGCACGTGAACCTCCAGGGACCTGAAATTATTTTAGTGTCTCTGGGGTTGCACAAAGTCAACTAGGTTAAAAAAAACTGACCAGGTTATTACTTCTTGCTCATCAAAATTCAAATATATTTTTATAGGAAAGGTTCCATAAAATGTCAACTCTGATAATATAAAAAGGTCAGTAACAAACTAACTTTACAAAACTCTTTGACAGTAATGTTTCAGAAAACGACTTTAGCCCGATTAAGATTTTATTCTACATAAGACTAGAAAAAAGAAAAAGTTTGTAACTTCTTTATAGTCATGATTTGCATTCATTATTAGTAAAAATATTTACAAATAGGACACTGACATCAAATTTTATAATAATGTCTTTTTATACTCAAATCTATGTGATTTTGGCATCCAAGCTCTTACTAAAAAAATGTTCTTTTTAAAGTGTTATTCAGTGTTGTACACATCCTAATTTTCAATATAAAATAACAAGAGGAATAATTTGCAATTTCGTGTGTTCATGCAGGGTGAAGAGGAAATGATGCTGAATTAAACTCCCAAACTCACATCTGGGTAACTCGGGCAGACATTTGAAAGCTGATTTGCGTGGGCCTGCGTGTATATGTGTACACTTATTTTTAACTACTACATGATTATCCGAAACTGATCTGAAAATGGGAAAAAAGTGGGACAGCTGATTGTTGTCCACACTGTTCAATTTCAACAATTCCATCATCTCTTCCCTATTCCGAAACTAGAAGATTGAAACATGCTACAACTGGCAAACCAGTATGACCATTTCTCCCTTTCTTTAGCAACGTCCACTTCCTGACTGGACAGATGTAAAGCTAACTGATAACTGGAAATCTGTCTTCCTCCCAAAGCAGCTGGGATGGACTCCTATAAATGCTGTTTTGGACAGTTGCACCCTGAAGGGTTCACTATGGAAGAAAGAAACCTTTGAGGTCGTGTCCAAATGCACTGCACCAAGGCTGGCTTTAGAAAGGCCACATGACGACACAGACACAGTTTTCCCCTTGTGCTGTTCAAAAATGGCTATGGGCCACCAGGGATCTAAATCAAAAGGAAATTAGAAAAGATTTGCCAGGGAACATCTTAAGAGCCAATTAAAACCCAAGATTTGGTTTTCATCCTTGATGAGAAAGTGATCACCAAAACGTTTGTTTTTCACTGCTGCTTCTGTGAAAATGCTCTGAAGAGAAACTTTAGTCTCTGTCCAACCTGGGACCTCAGTGAATAGTGCTCAGAGATTTTTCAGATGGTGTCATAAGTGTTGAGGCACCACTGAGCCTTGTTTTCTCTGGATGTGCTTCTTGCTCCCCCAGAATGTAAAATGTTTCCCCTGATCTTCCCAACAGTCCTCTGGGATGGGCAGGACAAGTCTCTCCATTTTTCCGGATGAGAATGAGCAAATGACTTACCCAGTGTCTCACTGTAAGTGAAGCCAGAGCTAAATGCTCAGGTCCAGAACTTGAAGTTTATGCAAAAGCATCCCCAAAGGGGTCTGACAGCGAACTTACTAACACATCTGGTGACTTGAACATCTGGATGATCTAATTCACACATTCATTATTCCCCCTTGAGGTTGGCCACAGCACTGATCCAGACCAATATTCGGAGTTCACTTGTAAATTATGGCCACAGATTTGCCTTTTACTTGTTCCAGACGGCCAAACACCTAATCAGCTGACCTAGAAGAAACTACATCTCTGATGGGCAAGAGAAAAAAACTTAAAACTCCCCAGCTGCCATGAGAAAGAGTGACGTAACAGAAAAAGCTGCTAGAATCACACACATATGCTCAGGGAGGGAAAAAAAAGAATTCCCAGGAAGTTGCAAGGAAATGTATATAATATTTATATTATCCTCGAGATTTTAAATGTAAGAAATGAAACAGCCATACCATTTCTCTTTCCCCATATGGCACAGAAATGTAAATGACTACACTATTCAAACTTAAACTGCATGAGGGAGGAGATTTATACTTAGGACATACTTAATTCCTCCTTATGATGACTGCTTTAAATCTAACAAAAGAGATTCGTCATCCTCTACCTTCACCTGAGGCTTAAAAGTGACTTTCAAAGGCTCAGGGGTGGGGGTCTGCCCTCCTTCTCGGGGAGGGTACCCCACCCCAGCAGCCTCATGTTCGGGGTCGCTGAGCTCATCGGGGTAATGCTCACCAATGGGACCCAGAGACCCGCTCCTAGCAATGATGTCCACCCCCATCTCCCTTCCACCCTCCTGACCTTCAGCAACATTTTGGTCCTTAGCTTTCCTGAGGCTACGCATCTTAAAGGCTTCCTTGGAGGGAGCTGCATTCGAAATCGATTTCTTAAGTCGTTCCCCCGACTGCCTCAGCCTCTCTCCCGACTGCTTCAGCCTCTCTCCTGACTGCCTCAGCCTCTCTCTCCTCTCCGGGGTCACTATTCTAGTTCTAATTCTGTTCACTTTCTTGTCAAAATTCTGGCGTGTCTTCTGCACGTTTTCCTTAGAAAATGCCTTTCTGATATTATCAATGCGCTCCTTGCCGGACTTTCTAAACCTGGCAGATCTGCTTTCTTCAACGTAATATTCTTCATCGGAAGAGAGATCTATTGGGGGGTCGAAGGCATCCTCATCCTCCTCCTCCTCGTTCTCAGTTAGATTTCTCTCTTTAATAGACAAGGATGTTGGACACTGAATCTTCTCCTGAGGGAGAAAAAAACAAAAGCATGTTAATGCTACCTCTGCATTAGAGATCAGCCCGTTTATCTCCTGGCCATGCCTTGTAAATCTCCTTTGTGGGTGGTTTGTTTTCTGCTTGCTCCTTAAATGTTGGCATTTATCAGGGTGTCTCTCTCTGTCTGTCTCTTTGGACCTTTCTCTTCTTCATCTCCCAAGTTCACCCTGAGCAAAGTTACCCACTTCTATGCCTTTGGATGCACTCAGAAGCAAACTCACAAGTATCTTATCTTCACTTTCCCCTTCTCTTACCACATCTAAATGATGGGCAGAATTCTCTGCCTTGTGTAACACAGGAATCTCAAGCTCAGCAAGTCCAAAAATCAAGACCCATCCACCATCCTCTCCACTTCAACTTCTTTCCCTGTACCTCTCAGCACTAATACCCATCCAGGTGCCACAGAAGATAGAAGCCCCAGTCATCATCCCATATATATTTCCCCTCCCTTTTATCCCCTGTACAACTGTTCACCAAGCCCCGCGGATAACACTGCGAGTAACTTGTCTATTCCCTCCTCCCTCCTCATTCCCAACCAGTGTCTTGATTCTGGTGCTTGTCAGGCCTGAGCTCGTGACCCCTTAACCTCCAGAACATCACCCAAGTGTTTCCTGAGAAATACTTCCAAGGCACAGGGCACATACCTACATTTATTTATAATATTTATCTGAATTAGAACTCTACTCATTTATATATATTTTTATATATACATATTATATATATATGTATCTTAGGCCTTCACTAGGTGACAGATCCCTTGAAAGCAGAGATAATGATAATGCATCTTTATTTATGTTTTTGTGCCCAGTGTCTATCAAAGGGCCTTGTATGTAGTGGGGTATATTCAATAATAATCCTTCTTGGACCAAACAAGAGGCTCACAGCTTCATTCAACAAATAGTTACTAAGTACCACCATCCAACAGTCCATGTTCTAAGACCTGAGAATCTTCTGTGAAGATAAAAGAGTTTATACTCTTTGAATGAGACAAACAAGTAAAATAGCTAGTACACTGGATAGTGACAGATGCTAACGCAAAAAGTAAAGCAGGGAAGGAGGATAAACGGTGAGGTCAGAAAGGCCTCACCAATAAGGTGACACCTGGGCTGAACCTGAGAGTTGTGCATGTATCTGAGAAGAAGAGAGAAGAGCAAGGAGGGCCATGTGGCCAGAGTAGAGTGACCGAGGGGGTGTGAGGTGGCAGAGAGGGGGTATGAGAGGTAGCAGGTGGGCCAGATCAGGCAGGGTTTATATCTAATTCTGAGGAAGATAGGAAGTTTTTAAAAAGTTTTTGAGGACAGAGGTGCCACGATCTAACCCATTCTGTAAAAGGATGACTCTGTTGAAATAGACTGCAGGGGTGAATCTAGACACAGGGAGAACAGGTGGTCAGCACGGAGATGAGGCAGGTGAGAGCTGGATATGGGTGTTGGCAGAAGTGGTCTGATTCCAGATCTGCTCTGAAGGCAGGAGCCAACAGGATCTGCTGCTAGACTCGGGGGCGGAGTGTGAGAATGTCAAGGATGATCCTCACGCGCATGGCCCGAACAAATGAAGGGCAGACCTGCCATTAACGGTGATGGGGAGATGCAGGAAACCGAGACTGGAAGGGAAAGATGGAATGTGAACATCTCGTCTCTGAGAGGCCTACTGGGCAGGAGAGCAGAGATGCCGGTAGGTAGCTGAGCAGATGAGTCTGGAGTTCAGAAGAGAGGCTGGGCTGGACATAAAAACCAAGTCACTGATGTGAAGATAGAATCAAAGGTCATGAGACTAGATGAAAGAGACAGGGTACATGGCCCAACACTGTTTTATTCAAAGCTACTTGGGGGGCCAAGGTGTGTTTCAGAATTCAGAATATTTTAGATGTTAGAAAACTATTATATAACATCCCCAGTGAGATCTCCGAAGAAACATTTCTCTAGCAAAAAATATAAATATTCACACTAAGGTGGGGGATTTAAAGACTATAAATAGGCTCATGCTCCTTCAAGTCAGGTTTTCCCACTGAATAAGTTCAGGTTAAACCGGGGTCTTGCTGTCAGATCAGTTATAAAAAAAATTTATTCTTAGAAATTTTTGGATCTCTTAATATAGATCATGGATTTTGGACATGTAGGTAAGAAGGAAGAGCTGAGAAAAACCAAAAAAGGAGAAATATCAGGTAGTGAGTGAGGCGAGAAGAAATCCAAAAGGGAACAGCACCCCCCAGACAGCAAGGGGAAAGAAGTTTCAAGAAGAGAGAAGGGACCAACTGTGTCAAATGTATCAAAAGAATAAGAACGAGAACTGGCTTTGGGAATATGACAGAACCTACAGATTTTGAGAGCTAGCCCAGACAACAGTGCTAAAGAAATCCAACTGACTACTTAGGATTATTTCTAAATCAGGCAAAATTTGAAAGCTCATGAGATTTTTTTTTTTTTGAGACAGGAACCTCAAGCTGTCCACCTGAGTAGAGTGCCGTGGCATCTCAGCTCACAGCAACCTCCAACTCCTGGGCTCAAACGAGTCTCCTGCCTCCGCCTCCCAAGTAGCTGGGACCACAGGCGTCCGCCACAATGCCTGGCTATTTTTTGGTTGCAGCCGTCGTTGTTTGGCGGGTCCAGGCTGGATTCGAACCCGCCACCTTGGGTGTAGGTGGCTGGCGCCTTAGCCACTTGAGCCACAGGCGCCGAGCCAGATCATGAGATTTTTAACAGAACTAAGTTAAAAATTTCTAAAAGAAACTGTGTCTTCTACGTGAGATCCAGAATAAATCTACACAATCAAAAACCATAATAAATATGTAAGGAACATATTTATGCATATTTCGAAATCAGCCCGATAGTCAAGAAGGTATCCCTGGCACCTTATTTCTTTGGATACTTATTTAAAATTAAATTCTTTGGCTACAGGATTAGAGTGTCTAGGAGCTAAAAAAGGCAGGGGTGGGCGTCTCATAACTCTCTGATGAATCAGTCAGAAGCAGCGAAATTATTCCTCTCCTTTCCTGACACCTGCTGCAGGGAGTAGCTTCAGCAACACAGTGTGGGTTGGTATGGCCCAAGAAGGTATAATTAGAAAAGGAAAGAGCCAAAGAGTCATTACCGTTGGTAGGAAACTCTCACAATCTCACTGTGAAAAAATGATACAGCATGACTCAAGAAATCACCCGCCCTTCTCTGACTACACAATGAATAAAAATCAGGTTTTAAAACAAAACAAAACAGAGCAAACAACAACAAAAAAAGAAAACACAGGTAGAGCCCCAAGAGTGTTACTTATTATGTGGATCTATTGGTTGCAACTCTGATGAGTCACAGATGTTATGGGTTAGTGGTGAATAGCCTACAGTAATAACTGAAGATGGTAAGGTTGAATTATAATTTATTTCCACACACAATTATATCTTTTAATGTGCAAGTTCAGATTTAAAAAAAAAAAACAAAACATTTGTGCAACAGAATAAATACTATGGACATGAATGAATATCAAAGTAACATAGCTAGGGGAATTTTAAATATATAAAAATCTAGGGCTTATCATTTAGAGAATGGCCAAATATCTTACTTGGTAACTACAGTATGTGATTAATAACCAAAATTATCAGAAGATATCGTAACATTCCTGGCTTGTGTGATAAGAGAGATCATCAAGGTGAAAGGATGTTCAAGAGAATCCATAATTGTATAAAAAATAAATCAGTTTTATTGTGGCTGAATACTCACTAGCCATTGTTAATTTAACAGTGGCAGTGGCAGTCTCAATATAGCCCCTTAAACATATGTGTATTAACTGTAAGAATAACTAATTTTAACTGCCAAGAATAACCATGTGGATCTTATACACAGCATTCTAACATCTAATGAATCTTTGAATCAGATTTCTAAGTTCATTTATCTTTGCTCCACGAGCTTTCCCATTGGAACAGATAGCAATTACTTTTTGACAAACTGATGCTTACTCTGACCAACTTAATTTCACAGAATCTTCTTGACATTACTTCTTATAAGAAAAGAGATCTGATCTAAACTAGCATTCCTCAGTTGCTTTAAATAATTACAGGGCTCGAAGAAAGGAAATAATTAGCAGTAAGTTATAGGGACTGAACAGGGAAATAAGCAAATACCTTAATTCTTTTTAAAAAATGATGTCAGGGCAGCACCTATGGCTCACAGGAGAAGGGCACCGGCCCCATATGCCGGAGATGGTAGGTTCAAACCCAGTCCCGGCCAAAAAAATATTTATGTCAATGGACAGTCAATTAGAACTTTTCAGAAACTTCTTTGCTGTAGCCTTGGCAAATCTTGATTGGCACTTAGTCCACTGCTTTGCACAAAGGTTCTTAGAAGTGCTGAATGCCAAGTATGTCTCCTGGCCATGCCCCATGCAAGTGGAGGGTGAGATACCAGTATACCCACTACTGCTAGTGCTCTTAGAAAGTCAATCAAAAAATGGATACTACCAATACCAAATCTAGATCCTCACTACATACAGTAACACCAGAACTGGCCTTTGAAATAAGGTGACTTTTTTTCAAATTTGTAAGCCTAGGGAAGGGATTCCAGGGACTCGAGAGAAAGGGAAATGATAAAGGACTTCAAAGTCTACCTACCCGCTCTCTTCAAAATACGCAACTCTTCTCTCTCCTCCTCATTCTTTTTCTAAATAAGCTACCAGCTCTTAAAAATAGATCCAAAATACCGCTCTACCATCACAGAGTAACTTTATCAGTCACCAGAAGGCTATGGAAAATTGCCTAATGTGTGAAGAATGCTGTGGGGAGTGACAGGCCACATCCCTAGTATTTCACAAATACCATGTATCTCCTACATAATCCAGCTGTGTTGCTATCTCATTTTGTCCTTATTCTTTCTAGGGTTTCTTCCTATGTACAAAGGCATCAATTTTAAAAATACAGCTGTGACAACACTTTATATATACCAATGAACATCTCTGCACACATTCCTGATTTTATGCTTAGAACAAATTCTTTGACATGAAATTATGGGGCCAAAAAGTTTGTGAATTTTTCAAGTTTTTCATATGCTATCCAAACTGTCTTCCAGAAATGTTGTACCAATCAATACTTCTACCAGCAGAATATGAAAGTGCTTATTTTTTCCCATCCTTAAACTCTGGGTGTACGTTTTAGTAACTTCAAATCCACGTATTTAAAAAGGCAGAAGTGCAATTCTGTTCTTCTTCATCTTTTGTAAACTACCTGATAATGATAGTTTCCCATTTTTCTTTCTTTCTCTATTTTTAAGACAGAGTCTCACTTGTTGCCCTCGGTAGAGTGCCCAGACATCACAGCTCACAGCAACCTCAAACTCTTGGGCTCAAGCAATTCTCTTGTCTCAGCCTCCCGAATAGCTGGGACTACAGGCACCTGCCACAAAGCTCAGCTATTTTTAGAGACGGGTCTCGCTCTTTCTCGGGGTGGTCTTAAACCTGTGAGCCCAGGCAATCCACCTGCTTCAGCCTCCCAGAGTGCTAGGATTAAAGGCATGAGTTACTGCACCTGGCCTCCAGTTTCCCATTTTTCAAGTGCAAGGAGTGTTCAACTTTTCCTTTTGATCTGTAATTGTTTTAAAAATATATTATAGATATTAGGCATTTACCATAGATACAATCCTATTTCCTAAAATGTTAAGTGTCAAGGGCAGAGTAAGATGGGAACTTAGCTGAACACACATGCCACATGAAAAATTATTATATTAAATCAGTTAAGTAAAAGGGTTTTATACACATATAAGGAGCTATTTATGTGACTCCTGTATTTGTATTGCTATAACAGTAAGAAAAATAATAACAAGTGACGGATCATCAAGAAAAAAACAGTAAGTTTTTCATATTGTGACTTAAATGTAAAAATTGTGACTTAGATGTACAAATCACATTCTGAAAAGTTTATATTTTATTATTTAGGGGTTTGTAGGTTCTCCTTGATAAGAAAAAATATATATATTGTGGAGCTACTAGTTCTCAGTTTCTTCTTTTAAATAACAAAGGGGTGTTTTAAAATAGAGGCGCCTTAGGTCTCTTCCAGTTCTAACATTCTCAAAGTCCATGGGAGGACATCACCCTAATAAGGCTAATATGCTGAAAGAGTCTTACCAATATTAAGTTTCAAAGGCAAGAAATAGCCTAAGCTATGAGCCACAGTTCATATTACACGAAATGGCTGAGAAGCTCAGAGTACCGATGTGATACATAGTAACGTTAGTTTACATGGAAATGGCTTTACCCTGAGATCTCTGCTGATACAGAACTCCATCACATTAATGTCCACAACAGGTAATTTAGATGGAACTCTGGAAACCTCTTACACAACCTGCTGACAGGTAAAAGAAACAGGAGATTATAATAATCAAGCTGAATATAAATGTAAACTTACCTGGAATATGACCACTCGGAATTTGTTTTTCTTCATTATCTCCTCTTGCTTGACTTCAACCTTTTTAACGTGAACTTGCTGTCTCTCCACCCGGGCCTTCACATCTTTAATGTGAGCACTGACTTTTCGGGTCTTCTCAAACAACTTGTTAACGATGTGGCCTGTATTACTGTGCGACTGTGAAAGCTTCAACAGGTCGATCTGGACAGATTTTATGGCATTTTCCATTTCCCTGTGTCTCTCTTCTATTCTCTTCTGGCTGGCCTGTACGCTGTCCACAATGGAGGCGACTTTGTCCAGCACAGTCACAATGGTGAGAGCAGCGTCTTGGTCTTCATCTTCTGTAACACTCGACAGGCGATTCTGGTGGATTTTATCAGCATTTGAAGCAGACCCACTATGTTCCATTTTATTTGTTCCTCAGTGAAAGATGTCCCGACCACAATCAATGCTGGCACTTGGAGCAAAAAGTCAGCTTGATAACAGGCTACGGGTTGTTTAAAGGGTTGGCAACCCCACCCCTGGAGAATGGTCAAGTATTTATAACTACAAACACCCATACGTGACTGCTCTGCAACATGAACCCTTGCGAAGCACTGGGGCCTGTTCCAAACATGCTTGCTGACTGACTAAGGGACTCAAATAAGATCGTGTGGGTAGAAGAGGAAAACCTTTTTTAAAAGTTTACTGAAGCCACCATGTTGCTAATATTAAATCTAGAAGCCAAAAACCCAAAAATGCAAATTCCAAATGTTAGGTGACGCTTTTGACTTTAGATAATTTCAAGCAGCATGTGTAAAAGTAGAGGAGAATTTTGAACTGAAATCTGCATTTTCTACTAATGTCACATATTAAATGTACTAACAGAGCAGTATCAAAGAATACAGTAAATAAACACACCGAAACAGAGGCTGTATAGTGAAAACATTATATTATAACATGCTTTTCCAAACCAAATATTAAAATTAATATTTAATTTTTAACATATTCTTTAAATTCTACATGCATACTTTTGGATATCTAAACTACATGTTAAACAGTTGAATACATTCTACTCACACTTCAGATCTTTAAACACCAACAATCTATTAATACAGCTATTACTACGGGACAAATTTGGATGGAGGTCTTAGATTATTTTTAAGCTTGCTTTAAGAGCACCAATCATTAACAATTATTTCAGCATTTTATTCACAAACACTGTCATAATTTGTTTATTTATGTTAAAACAAATATTTTCTTTAAAAATGAATGTGTATTAAAGTCGTTTAACTGATAAAGAGTAGGCTTTATTCCAATCTGTTTATTAAACAGCCTATTTTCACACTAACTAAATCTACTTTTCAGGGATTTGTTCCATCATTACTACCAGATACATTTTCAAATTATTAGAACGTTTTGTCAAAGAGAGGAATAATCAAATTCCAATCCATACATTTTATAAATATTTTACATCTAACACACACAGCTTTATAGTTCATGCGATAGGCAGTGTCTAAAAAAATCAGTTACTAAATCTCAAAAACATTTAAATATCTATTTAAACACAGTGGCTTCTAGTTTTTTTTTTTTTTTTTGTAAGAAAAGTAATCTGTAAACATCTTTACCTTTAGTTCATGCTTGGTCATTTGCTGTGGTAATTGTGGAAGAAGTGGGTATGACTTTATAACCATTTGTGAAGTGGTCCATCTTTGCAAAAATATTACATTCCATGGGTAAAGAACAAGTCTTAGAATTACCATGTGGTACAAATTTGTGAAATCAATTTCTGTATTTAAAAACATAAAACAAAACTACTCAACAGTCCAAAACTGTTGTAGCTGAATATTCTAAATACGAGCCAACAGTACTACACTAAAAATGTCCAAAAATAAGGCCTCTGAAATAAATATTTCCATTCTTTAAAAAAAGACATAATAAATGTACATCACATGGTCAGTGTACATATAAAAGTCATCAGTTTAAACCATCCGGGATGACGTATCTGAAGTAAAATGACCTAGGTTTTGCTTCTGTCGACGTCCTCTATTGTTTTTGGGGCATTTTCTGTTGAATTAAAAAAAGAAAGAAAGAAAAATATTACTTCAATCATTTTGTTCAGAAGATTTAAAGTGTTTCCAAAGTAAAATAGACTTCATAGATAAAGCCGCACAGCATGCAATTACATGAAAGGCGAACCGAGATGGTATCTGGATCAAGCCAAGGTGAACATAAACACAGTGTCAGCCTGCTACCTTCCCTACAGAGCTGAGAGCTGGGAGCTCAGAGCCAGAGACTTACGGTATAGCTAACAACACACACAGAATTCATTCCTAGTGTCATGTGCTACGCACACTCCACTCACAGGGTCCCTGCCCTTCCGCTGGCCTGGCGACTCCCCAGCACAGTGACTGATAATATGTGAAACTCACAACCTCGGCCTGGGTACATTCCCTGGATATTATGATACCTCCAAAATGGTAAGAATAGTTTAGATGAAGGGAGAGATCAGGAAGCAGTGTGCTTATTAACCTCTGATAGGAATATACAGGAATTCCACACCCTACTGGGGCAAACCACAGAACCCCATAAGGATCTGCCCTGCTGAAGGTAAGGGATGTTCCTTGACCCTGCTCTCATTTTCTTCCACGGTGGTACAAATCTCAGTGCACGGTAGCTGCTCTGTGCCTGTGCATTAGATTACAGACACAGCTCGCGCTGATAAGTGCAAAGTGCTGGGCTACACAGTGTGGAGTGAAGGGCTACGGTTAATTCTGCTCACTCTGAGTCTAGGCTCTGCTAATAACTAGCTGTGCAATCTCAATTTTCCTGTACATAAAGTATGATTATGTTTTGCCACGTATAATGTGCACCCACTTTTTTTGGCCCAAACTTTCAGGAAAATGCCCCTTGAAAAAGTGGCCAGCTCTCGGCTTGGAGAGACCCATCTGAGGAGGGCTAACACTCCCCTGGTAAACATGCAGATCATACCACCCAGCCACAGCTGCCCACTCTGTGAGGCTGCCCTTCTTTCTCTCCCAGGAGCCCTTCCTCCCCGCCACTATCAGGGGCAGCAGACGAGATGGACATGCATGTGCCAATGGAGCAGGAGCTTTTGAGGACATTTGGCCTGTGGGCAGCCAGGCAGGTCCTGGGGCCTGCACGGGGCTCCTGGTCCCCTCTATGCTGCTGGGTCTCAGGCTCGGCCCTTGCCTCACATGGCTGCAGCCCAGTCCTTCCCTGACTAGAACACTGTGCACCTGGCAGGCCCGTGGGAGGATGTGGTGGCCCCAGGAGGCCTGCTAGGCTCCCCTATTCCCAAGCCAAACTACTACCCACGTATAATGCACATCCTTATTTTTCCCTCAAAAATGTGGGGGAAAGTGCCCATTATATAGGGCGAAATATGGTAAATCAGGAATTGGACTAACCTCTAAAATCTCTATCAGCGAGAAATCTAACAGAATACAGAAGTGTTACAACAATCATTATTCCTACCCTAATGCTCCAGGTTTTTATTCAATTTCAAAGAATGCAATTTTAATCCAGGCAAAGCCTTGATGATGATACTTCCATTTTGTATATGGTTGTCACAAATTGCATCTCATAAAAACACTTTGAGGTAGATGAAGCTGGAATCACCTCCATTTCATAAATGAGGAAACTTGCTGGGAGGCAAGCAACCCCCTCTACCATTGCTAACTCACCATGAAAAGTTCCAACTTCCTAGGACCACAGTTTTTTAAATCTACAAAATAAGGGGGGTTGGTTAAGTTCCAACTTCCTAGGACCACAGTTTTTTAAATCTACAAAATAAGGGGGGTTGGTTAAGATACTGTTCAAGGTCCCTGACAGTCTGTTATTCCATGAGTCTAAAAACATAAAAGAAGATTCCAAGACTAAAAGAAGAAAATCTGACTCATGCAGTCTTGATAAGTGGGTCAATGGGAATATCTTTTTAGGGGAAGATTCCTCCAAAGTAATAGCCACCACAGTCTATGTGAATAGCTGTCCCACCGCTATTTAAATACTCCTTAAACATTTAGCGATTATAAGTTCCTGTACATACTGATAATCATAATATTCCAAATCCAAGACAGTAAGATATTCTGAGGGAGGAAATACCACAGTAAGAAGACAGGCCACAAGGGGAAATCAGTGATAAACTGAACGAGATGACCCTTCAGTCGTGGGGACAGTAAGCAGTGAAGACACTGTGATGCACTTAGAAATATTCTATGATGTCTAAGTGGCAGTGAGGGCAACAAATGAACTTAGGGTATACAACTACAGGGCACCAACTTAGAAACTACCTGCCAGGTAATTTCTAATTTCTTTGTTCTGAGAACAGCACAAAGTTGGGTAAAGGCTTCATCAGGAGTCGTACAAGAGCTTTACCCAGGTCTATGACCTTGGCAAGGTACTTCCCAACTCAGGGCTTTGATTTCCTCACTTCTCAAAATGAAGGGGTTGAACTCAAAGCCAGTGACTCTAACATCCTTTGATCCTCTTAAAAATGGCACCAGCCCTCAAAAATCTTCCCAGACTTGACTTTTATTGCCTTCCAAATCATTTATATTCCCATTCCTGCTTTGTTCTAATAATGTTCTAAATGGTCTCCTTCTACCTCAAATTTTCACTATTCCATTGAATTTTGCATATGACTCTCAGATTAATAACCAAAAAAAATGGCATATACCAAGTTGCTCCCCTGCTCAAAAACCCTAAATTGCTATAAAATCAAATTTGAACTCTGTTCCCATGCAATGGTCCATACTTAGTAAATATTACCTCGCAAATGACTCAACATGGACCTTCCTCTTGATGGTTCAGAGGACAGACGAATGATTTGGGGGAATCAGATGGTACTGAATCTAAATCCAAGCACTTCCATTTACTAGTTGGATGACCACAGGCAAATTACTAAACTTCTGAGCCTGTGTTAAATGACCACAGCAAGCCCTGCTATTAAATGTTTTTTTTTTCCTATCTCTTTCTGTTGTCATTATTTGTTATATAATTATATCCCTACTTTGATCTACTGCCCAATTTTATACTCCATAATCTTGCCTGAGGCAGATCATCTGTTCTATGAAATAAAGCACAATGACTCGAGTGCCTGAATTTTATGAAAAATATTTGTTACTCAGAGAACGTTTTTTATCACTTCTAGATGTATCATTTTAGCTCCAGATGGCTGAGACTACTGAAGGTCTGGCTTCTACCCAGACCTTAGATGGAAGGGCCATAAATCCGTTATGGCCTGCCAGTATCTATCTGTATTTGATATGCTCCAACCCTCTGTCCACAGTAATGCAGGAAAGTGGAAAGATGATGTTTATGAGAGTTCTCAACCAACCTGAAAGGAGGCAGGAAGAGGTAAACAGGAAGAAAAGACAGACTGGGAAGCACAAAGACAATTTTATGGATTTTATGCCAGGTGCCCTTCATTCATTTATGATGAATAGTTTTACTTATGATAGAGAATTTTAAAGCTTATTGCCTATTGTTATAATCCAGAAAATCAAGTAATGTTAACACAATGGTATAATAAGGAAAACAGCTATCTTTAGCCTCTGATTTCTTCCTTTCTTCTTATAGGTGTACCATTACAAAAGTTCCAAGATACACAAAAATCCAGAAACATTAAATCCACATGGATGGAAATAAATGAAGCCCTCCCAGCAACACTGATAAGCTGAGCAAGCTGAAACTTTCAAGGTGAATGAGGAAGGATACTGCAGACTGTGTTTCTCAGAAGTGAAATAATGAATCGTACCATAGCCTGTCTCAAAACTTTCATAGTGACCCAGGTGTTTCCTATGAATAAAGTATATTCTTACAGCATAAAACATCTTCACTTCTGCAGGGTTTAAAAAAATTCTGCATGGCTGTGCTGTACATGCGTAGACCATTCTAGAAATTCTATTACTACCATTAATATTCCTGACCACATTGCTCAAAGACAATACCCCGTTCTAAGATCCCTAAATACCTTTACTTCATCGGCTGTTCTCATGCTCCCTCTACCTGAAGCTCAGATACACTGTAAACCTGGGAATGAGTTCCTGACCTCATTTTATAAGAAGAAAGACAGGGATAGAATAGACCCACCCCTGGAAACCTTATTGAAATGATCACAAGACATTTTCTAATAGATTGGTAGATTTAAAAACATCTATCCTTTTGAGTGTGCTTCAAGATTCCTGCCTACTTTAACAGCTACCCCCTCTAATTTAAAGCTGATACTTCTTACACCATTACATACCTTGTTATGCACATGACAATTGCTACTATAATGGCGATCTGTACAGCTCCAATAATTGCTGCAATAAGAACATGAGTGAGCTTTTGCCTACTTGGCACTACGTAGAGAATACTAAAGTCCGTCTTTTCACAGTGCTGTCCAGTGTAACCAGATTCACATCTGAAAGAGGAAAAAAAAGTGTTCCTATGAAAATTAGAATTTTTAATAACTTCAAGATATTTTTAAATTAAAAGTACAAAAGAATGATAAAATTTAAGCAGAAATAAAACAAATCAGGCACCTTCTCACCATCTGGGGGAAAAAATGCCATTTGTGTAATTCCCTGCAGTCTTTTTGATATGCCTATTTTACACAGAGTTTCTTTTATCTACATTATATCACATTCATTTGAAGTTGCTAAACAGTCTTTATCACTATAAATTCAAAGTAGATATGTAACACCCCATCCAGCAACTGTAATATAGCTAACTTATCTGTTCCCCACTCTAAGATATATCAGTTATTTTTAATTTTTCACAATTATAAATTAAGTGTCGCAAATATCATGGTAAATATGTGCTTTTCTACATTTACTCTCACTCTTTAGGCTAGATACTGGGAAATGAGATTATTTAGTAAATCAGTATAAACATTTACAATTCTCTGAACATAGCATCAAATTATATTCAGGACACTTTCCAGTGTACAAAATATACACATGTTAAATTCAGGAGGGCAAGGAAAATAAGTTACTAATGACAGAAATGAAGTCAAGCAGTCAAGAAGGTGCTAATCTTAGAAACTGTCTGAGTTCTAATTAAAAATAAATAAAAAGGCAACAACATCAGCTGGTGATAATTTGACAGGAGGAAACATTTAAGCTATTTAATAGAAAAGTCGTATTTTTAAGCTGACAGAAGTGAAATGTATAAATTAGCCAGCCTTCAGATGGAAATAATTAACAAACATGTGAAGTGTAAGGATACTGTGTGTATTTATTACACAACTCATTACAGAAAGAATGTGAGGCTGCTGATAATAAAGCACACACAACAACAAAAAAGAAACCTAGACAAAGGGAAATGGGAAAATCAGGGATGATGTGAGTCTACCAATCCTGCCCTTGAGGTTCCCTAGACACCTGCCAGCAAATTTCACATTGGGCTGTAAGCTTCCCCATAGACAAAACAAACAAGTAGTGAGGCATATATATTGGTCAAGGAACAGAACTTACACTTTCAAAACAAACCAGGCATCTATGGTGAATTGATTTTCAACAAAGGTACTAAGACAATTCAATGGGGAGAATTTGTGGTGAGAACATTCAGCATAAATGATGCTGAGACAACTAGATACCCACATGCAAATAATAAAGTTAGACCTCTTCCTCACATCATTCACAATAATAAACTCCAGATGGATCATAAATCTAAATGTAAGAGCTAAAACCATAAAACTCTTAGAAAATATAGGATGCAGTCATTATGGAAAAGAGTATGAAGGCTCTTCAAAAAATTAAAAATAGGGGCGGAGCAAGATGGCAGACCAGAAGGATCATTCAGCTGAGCTCTCCTAAAACAAGTGGGGAAAAAGAGAGAAGCCAGCCATACCTGGGTCAGGACCTTACTCAAGAGTCATAGCTTAGCGGGTACAGTGAGGAGGTGGTGAGCTGGATACAGCATATGATCCCGAGGGTGGAAATCTGACGAATTATACAAGCGATTGCAACTAGCTGGGATCAGCTGGCCCCTACAGAGGTCAGAGACCAGAGGAAGCCTTTCCAGTTTTCAGTAGTTGGGGAAAGCTGCCTATTAAGTGGAAAGCTTGGAAGAGTGGGCAGACTCAGTCTACAGCAGTGGTTCACAACCTACAGGAACTGTATTAAAGGGACGTGCCATTAGGAAGGTTGAGCAACCAGATTTGAATACTGGGCAGAGTGTATTTGCCATAGGTTTGGTGGCTGGTGAGGCAGCCATACTGAGAAGGTCTTATTGGCCAGAGGGCTGCCATTGTGGGAAGGTCATGAGAAGGTCTTAGCAGGGGACTAAACCATGGCTGTCTTAATTCCACCTGCCAGAATCAGAACTCCACTCTTGGGACAAGCTGAGGGATCCTCACATGTCAAGGGAACTGGAGTTGGAGGACACAGTGAGACCTGCCCCTGAAGGATTCTTGTGAGCTTTGAGATCCCAACCTGGCAGGGTCTGACTGCTGAGGAAACAATCAGACATTCACTAATGGCAACTAAGTTTGTAATAAGGACCACAGAGGTTCCTGACTGTGCATTCTGTCTCCTAATAAAACTGCAGAGCCACCTAGCATCCCAGTGACATATTGCAACATACTGTCATCAAGAGCAAGGACTTCTGTTTGAAACAAAGGAGGCAGTGAGAAGGAAAATGGAGAACAAGGAGGTGAAAAAGGAAAAAGATCACATGAAGAGAAACCAACAGAAAAATTCAGGCAACATGAAAAACCAAAACAGAGGCCTAAGGGACCATGAGGGAGCTAATGCAGAAGACTCCAACTATAAAGAATTAATAGATTTGACAGAAAGGGAATTTAAAATATGGATGATAAAGACAATAAAAGAAATGGACAAGAAAATGGAAAGACAGAAACAAAAGTCAAAAGAGAGATATGCAGAATATAGAAAGAATATGGTGGACCTTAAGGAAATGAAGGAGACAACTGTGGAATGTAAAGATGCAGTAGAAAGTATCAAAAATAGGTTAGATCAAGGAGAATAAAGAACCTCAGAGCTAGACGATAAAGTTTTAGAGTTAACCCAGGTAGTTAAAGAGGCAGAAAAGAAGAGAGAGAAAGGAGAATAGGTACTTAGAGAACTACAAGATTCCATGAAGCATTCAAATATATGAATAATAGGGATTCCTGAAGGGGAAGAAGGTGGTCCCAAAGGAATGGAAGCCCTACTGGAGACTATCATAAAGGAAAGTATCAGACCCTGACATACTCCTTTCAGATGGATATCAAATTCCAGGTCATCTCAATTCAAACAGAGCCTCTCCAAGACACATTGTAATGAACCTGTCCAAAGTCAAGATGAAAGAAAAAATCCTGCAAGCAGCCAGAAGAAAGTGGCAACTGACTTACAAAGGCAGAGCCATTAGGATGACAACAAATTTTCAACTAAAACCAGAAGAACATGGTCATCCACCTTCAATCTCCTTAAACAAAACAATCTTCAGCACAGAATTCTTTTTTTTTTTTTT